CACGTAGTGCTAACCTTCGGTTTTTGAACTTATGAGTTTAGTTATGATACTGCTTCCCCTAGACCTAATGTATGGCGGGCAGACATTTCAAGCACAAGGAATTGCGCAGTCATTAAGTATTGGACCATCGACAAGGACTCATCAATCGAGAACGCATGGGGTAGGTTTAGGACTCTATTTGAAGAGGTAACAACGACATTTATCCCATAGTCGACTCTACGAAGATCCTCACATCGTCCTCCATAGTTTAATAAAGACACTCGGAAACTGTTAAGGCGGAGGAAACGTTTATGGTACTTGCTTATAGAAATTGGACTGGGAACATTTAAAACTGGGTACTGTAAAGTCCATAATCTCTGCAAAACTTTGATTACACAGTCTCGAATGTCCTACAAGAAACAGTTTGTAAATGATTGCCCAAACTTCCCTAAGAGACCTTTCGCACTCATTATTATTATTATGTCCCTTGGGTTCCTAATGAACATAGGGCATCAGTAGCACGTCTCCACTCCACTCTCTTCTCTGCAATCTTTTGAACCTGGATCCACGACAACCCACAAGCTCTCAGTTCCTCCTCGCACCATCTCCTCCATGTCACCCTCGACACGGATGCCCAACTCGTCACTTCCCATCGGGGTTCCACTCGAGCAACTGACCTGACGCGTGATGTCCCCAGTCGGCCTTCTCACTGTATACCCGACCCAATCCATCTCCACTGCCTTCAACTGCATATTTGTTGAGCGATGGGTTGTTGGTTGTTTCCTTTCCAGTCGAGAGTTCCTTGTTGCTTATTCTTACTAGTCTGGCAATCCATCTGATCTTCAGTAACAAGCCAGCGTGGGTGGCAGTTGTTGATGAATGTCTGTGGTTAGTTGGGAATGCCTTTCGTAAGGCGCCAAGTCTCTGACGCATCACACAGAAGCACTGACTTGACTGAATTGGTGTTGAAACTCCGGATGTTGTTCGCGCTTTGTGGTGAGTGCAGAAGATCTCCACACTGGTTTCAGGCTAATGAAGGCCTGTCTTGCTGTATTTCCGATCCTGACTTTGACATCCTCGTCTGTGCCTGTGCCACCACGTGTAGTTGAAACAGTGCTTCCTAGATAGGTGTAGGTGAAGGAGGCTACTTCCTTTAAGTTTCTCCCGTTGATAGTGATTGGAGTTTGTTGTTGTTGGTTGGGTATCTTCATCACCTCTGTCTTCTCTATATTCACTTGAAGTCCCATCTTCGCTGCCTTGACTCTTCTGTCAACTTGTTAGTTTTCACCTGTACATCTTCAAGTTTGTGCGGAAAGACATTAGACACAAGTCATCATTGGCGAAATCCAAGTCTTCTAGGTCATTTTCCGCGGTCCAGCGAATCCCCCTCCTCTCACAGCTCCTCACTGTTTGTTGTATGATCCAGTCGACCACAACACAATCAAGAATATAATGGGTGATAGTAGGCAGCCTTGTTTTACTTCTGTCTTCACTTCAGAGGCATCACTGAGCTGAGCTGTCCATTGTGAATTACTTGGCCGACATGTGGCGTCTTCATATAGCTAGTTGTTGAATGAGGCTGATAAAGGTTTGCGGTATTCCGTAGTGTTGGAGCAACTGCCAACTTACTTGTTGGTCGACGCTGTCGAATGCCTTCTCAAAGTCGATTAAGTTGAGGTAAGGTGAAGAGTTGAGTGCCATTCTGTGCTCTGTTCTATGATGATGCGAAGCGTTGCGATTTGGTCTGCATATGATTTGTACTTCCTGAATCCAGCCAGTCTGTTCCAGTCATCATCATCATTATCAACATAGGACCAGGCATTACTGCGTAACGGTCCGAGTTGCCACACCTCATATCAGCACATCAAGTAAAAAGGTAGTGAGGTGAAGGATGAAGATAAGTGAATGCAGTCAAAAGAAATATAAAGTATGAGAAGAAAGGAAAGAGGAGTGACAAAATAGTGAGATTCGGTATAGCGTTGTTAAGATGAGGATAATGTGTGTATACATCTGCGCCACTGACTTCGGTTCTGAGCCATATCACCTAGGGTCTCCAACCACTGGTTCCTCTTGTCCCGTGGACCCCAACCACCTAGTCTGCATCGTCCTACATGGCTTAAACCAACAGTCAGAGACTTCATACATTGGTGCCATGTTTTAGTCTGGCCACCTCGGGCCTTTTTCCAGCCTGAACCCACCTCAGCCAACATTGTGTGACGAGGCAATCGGTGACTAGGCATACGTAGTACGTGTCCCAACCATCTCAGTCGATGAAGGTTCACAACCTCGTCGACTGACTTACCTCTTCTCCCTAAAACTCTACACCTAACTTCTGCATTACTCACATGGTGACACCACGGAATACGTCCTATACTACGAAGGCAACGGTGGTCAAATACCTGTAACCTTCTCATGTCTTCCACTTTCAATGGCCATGTTTCACAGCCATACAGTAGAACAGAGCGGACTGCTGTGCAGTACACGCGACCCTTAATAGACAAACGAATATCACGGCGGCGCCATAGGTGGCGCAAATTGGCAAAAGCCAATCGAGCCTTTTGTATCCGTGCAGAAATCTCATCGGCAACTAACCCACCGGAGTTGATCCTACTTCCCAGGTAAGTGAAGTGGTCAACACACTCAACCACTTCACTCTCTATTGTTAACCGCGGTACCGCTGAAGACCAGTCCTGGAGCAAAAATTTGCATTTGGGTGGTGAAAATCGCATCCCAAACATTCTCAAATTCCCACTCAAAGTGTTCAGAAGACTCTGCATCTTGTCAGCGTCTTCACCTAACAGGACTATGTCATCTGCATATTCTAGATCTAAGGAAAATTCACCTGTGGTCCGGTCAACGTCTTTGTAATTAGGTGACGAGAGGGAAACCTCCATAAGAATATCTATGATAAAATTAAATAAGAATGGGGATAGTGGGCATCCTTGACGGACACCACTTGATGAGTATAGCTCCCTGGACAACTCACCATAGGCTCTAACATGCCCACAAGTGTTCGAGTAGAGAGCTTTCAATAAGGTGATGTACTTACTAGGCACGCCTTTCAGTGACAGACACTGCCATAAGACTTCTCGATCAACGGAGTCAAATGCCGCCTTCAGGTCGAGAAATACAGCTATTGTCGGGCGTCTGTAAGCATGCCTATGTTCCAGGACCTGGCGCAGTGTGAATATTTGGTCGATACATCCACGGCCAGGTCTAAAGCCTGCCTGGTTTTCTCGGGCTTGCTGTTCCCGAGCTCCACTCAGGCGTCGGAGAATTATAGAACTTAGGATCTTAGACACTATGTTTGTCAGGCTGATTCCTCTGTGGTTATCACAAGAGGACTTCTCGCCTTTCTTGAAGACTGGGATGATCAGTGACTTAGACCAGTCGGAGGGGATCGTATTTGATTCCCATATACTGGCTAACACTTCCGTTAGCCTGACTAAGAGAACTCTACCACCATTCTTGTATACCTCAGCAGGTAGTCCGTCTGGTCCTGCTGCCCTTCCCCGTTTCAGGCTACCTACCGCTTTCTCAACTTCTTCTAGTGTTGGGGGACCTGTCTCTATGTCCCATTCAGGGTCCGACTGGATAGCGGGCAGCGCAATGGTGGCTGGAGGCCAGTTAAACTGTTCCTCAAAGTGTTCTGCCCATCGTCCCAGTCGCCTTCCCTGCGAGTGAATCGCCGATCCGTCCTTCTCCGCTATAACCTCACTAACTGTTGTTGACCATTTCCCCCCAGTCTCCTTAATAAGTCTAAATAACTGTCTACTGTTACCGATCGCCGCTGCCTTTTCCATCTCTTTAGCCTTTGCTGCCCACCACTGTTCACGATCGTTGCGCAGACTTTTCGTCAGTTTATTTTTAAGTTGCGCTCGCTCTTCATTGTACTCAGAGCCTGCAGGGATGCATTCACGTGCATCCATTAGTTTGGAAGAAGCTGCTGATATCCACTGGCTCTTTTTAGCCATTATCTTGGAGTCGGCTACAGTCTCCAGTGCTGCTTTTACAGTAGACTGAAGATGGCACCAAGCTTCTTCTGGATGAGTGACAGTCTTTTGTTCCGATAACTGCCTAGCCAACTTCTCACTGAACACGGCTTTGGTGTTTTCGTTGTCCAGCAGAACTCGTAGTGGTTTTGTTGCCAAATTTTTTCTACGTCCATTGAGACGCAGGCATATACGTGCTCGGACCAACGCATGATCGCTGTCCAAACACGTACTCCAGAAGGAGCGGCAGTCTTCCACCGATCCTCTCCAGCGATGACTAATAGCAATGTGGTCTATCTGTGTCCATCGCTGAGTCGAGCTCGGTGGACGCCAGGTCAGACAGTGCCTTTCTTTATGTCTGAAATTTGTGCTGGCTAAAAATAGGCGGTTATCTGAGCATAGTTGTAATAGGCGATCACCGTTATCTGTACGTTCAGCTGGGATTCCGAAAGTGCCACCTAAGTGCCTTTCTGCCTCACTCAGTCTACCCACCTGTGCGTTGAGGTCACCTGCAACAACCACTACGTCCGAACGTTTGGCTTTCGAGAGGAGGTTAGACAGTTTATGGTAGAACTCGTCCTTCACTTCATCCGAACTACAGTCAGTGGGTGCGTAAGCAGAGATTACAAAGAGACAACGGCGAGTCTCACTATTCCTTTTAGTTCTCACTGTGCCGTTCAGCCTCATAGCGCAGAGGCGACTATCAACTGGGATCCAGTCTAGTAGTGAGTTTTCTGCCCTGGTGCTTAATGCTATACCTACACCTGCAAGACCACGAGAGCTAGCTATCGAATCTCCAGAAACTCGAAGGGTGAATTTTGCAGATTCACCAGATTGGTCAGGAGAGGTCAGGTGAATAACCACACTTGGGTCCTGTATGCGTGTCTCACAAACACAGCACACATCCATGCCTCGAGTTGCTAGAGTCTTTGCCAACGAAGCCTGTTGGCCAATTTGACGGAGGGTGCGGACATTGAAGGCTCCAATATGTAATTTGGAGCGTGGTTTAAGGAGACCAGGGACACTGTTCTGTGGACTCAGATCGTTGTCGAAGGCTGCAGAGGTAGGAGAAATTGAAGATGATGCAGCATCATTAATTAAGAGACGTGAAGGAAGATTAGAAGGTAATGATGGAGGAGGAGGATAGCAGTCAGAAGAAACTTGGGTGCTGACAGAGTTGTGAGGGCGGTTGACACTTCCCGGCTGCCCACACCGTGGAAGGCTATTTCTTCTTAAGGTACCTGAAAGAGATTTGTGTGACCGCAGAGCCCATCGGACATCTGCTTGAGGCCTGTCACACCCAGCCTTTTGAGTATGATTATTTTGAATTTTTGTATTTTTGGGGCCGGATGAGCGAAAGGAAACGACAAGTGAACCAACACCGCCGGCCCGGCAGACCGTGGGGCGTGGTGGAGTGTGTTATTTTTGGGGCCGACCTTTTCTAACCCCCCCTTCCACTGAGAAGGCAGCATCAGCTTGGCACTGCTGGTCATCCAAGGGAAACACCTTACTGCTGTCACACCCCATCCAGCTAGCAGCAGTACGACTTCGCCCTCAGACCCCCATCATAGTATAGCAATTTACACTATGACGGTAACTGCTTTTCGTCTAACCACTACCCAACAGACCTTTCTGGTATGGTAGGACCTCGAGGGAACAAGCGTTCCACCAGCATAGCTCGTTGGGTCATTGTGATATGCAAGCCCGACCACCACGTCAAGGTAGCAGCTATCGGTCGGGATCTGTTCCAGTTGTCGTTTTGAATCCAGTGCATCATTTAGTCTCTCCAGGAGGGTGCGGCTTAATATTTTGCTGGATTTGGGTGGACGGGAGCGTGATTCTGCTCCAGTTCTTGCAAAGACTTAGGTCGCCCTTCTTCCAATCGCCAGGTACCCTACAGACCTTCTGCAATAGTGGTGTGAGCATGTCCGCCGTTGTCTGTCTCTGCATCTGTTCTCTGTGCTTCTGGCAGTATTCCATCTGGTCCCGCTGCTTTCCCGCATTTCAGTAGCTTTATGGCGCTCAGGACTTCGACTTTTGTTGGAGGATTTATTTTCACTTGTAGTTCTGTGGCTAGGGTGCTGGTGGTATTTCTGGACGAAGTGCTGGTGGTTGATTCAAGAGCTTCTTGAAGTGGTCGGCCCATCATTTCCTTTGTTTCTCCTCTTTGGTAATTAAACTTCCTTCATCATCTTTTATTGGTCTCATCTGTGTTGGTCTCTTCCAGATAGACAGTAACCTGGTTATTTGATACAATGTTGTCAGGTCTCTATCTCTCCTACCTGCAGCCTGTTCTGCTTCACTTGCAAGTGTGTCGTAGAAGTGTCTTTTATCTCTGTGCCCACTATTCTTCACTTCTTTGTCCAGTGAAGTGTTTTATACATTGTACTCAGTTCCTCTTCTCGTTGTGCAGCCTTGCACTGGTTTATCTTCTGCTTCACCATCCTCCTCTCCCTGCTCTATCAGCTTCCATGTGTCCATCGAGATCCATTCCTTATCTTCTTTCTTCTTCCTTCCTAACACGGTTATGCAGGTTTCTTTCCACATCTCTTTCAAGGACTTCCAGTGTTCATCCACACAGGTTTCTTCAGGGATGTTGGTTGATATCTCCCATTTTGTCTTGATGGCTGACTGATGTGAAGATGTCCTTTGTAGTTTCGTCCTTAAGTGCAGTTTCTGTTCTGGGTGTTGTACTTGAACTGTGGTCTATCACCAGCTTCCTTGAAGGCTGTTAACTTGATTTTGAAGGTAGGTTCCTTGCACTAGATAGTGAGTGATGTAAGCCTACATCTGCTCCTCTTCTTGACCTTGTGTCAAGTGGGCTGCGTCTCCACTTTCTTGAGATTGAGATAAAATCGATTTGATTTTCAGTGTGTCCTGGTGTCTGGTGAAATCAAATCCATGTCGCTGGCTTTGTGGATATCCTTGTGCTTGAACACACTGCCTGACTGACTCCAATCACCAAATCGTTGAATGCACAGAATTCCGCAAACAATTCTCCATTCTCGTTCATCACCTCACCTAGCGCTTCTCGACCCATAGTTAGTTCTCTTCCTGTGTTTTCCGCTCCATGCAGTTTGGCATTCATGTCACCCCAGCCATTAGAATTTTGATGTCGCCAACTGAGTTGTGGTCTTGTCCAGTGTTGATTGCAGTTGTCTGTAGAATTCCTCCTTCTTCTCTTCGTCTGCATTACTTGTAGGTGCATAGCGTAGTGTATGTAGCATTGTATGATTGTGACCTTCCTTGCCTTTGAGTTGAATCCATCTTGCTGTCATGATCCTGCATGAGGAGATTGGTTCCCACTGCATGAGAGCCTTTGGTGCTGTTGGGGACATGATGATAGCCACTCGAGAACTCAGTGTGCTCGTGGTTGTCGTCTGTGTGACAATGTCGGAGTAGATTATTGATTCTGCAGTTGACAGTTTGGAGAGTCCACTTCCACTCCATCTGCTTTCGCCAATTCCTAGCACTTCAATGTGATACCTCTTGATCTCGTTTGCAATGTGGGCTGCCTTGCTGGGTTCAAACGTGGTGCAGACATTCCATGTTCCCACGTTTACTTTCGTTTTCATCGAGAGAAGAGAAGACACATGGGCCTGTGAATTGGCTTCCCGAAGGAAGGCTTTCACCAACCGGGGTCATTTCACCTCTCCGATTCCAGCGAGGAGTGATTTTGTTATTATTTTTTATATTTCGTTTGTGCTTTGAAGTTTGTTTAGCGGTTGGATTTATTTGACGGGGTGGGATTGCTAGCCCTATGCCCAACATTCCCTCTTTGTTTGGGCTTGGACCAGCTAGTAACTAGTGAACTAGTTAACCAGGCGAGGTTTTCGCACTCACTAAGAGGACTAAAATAAAATTTGAAATCCCCTCTCTGGTGACGAATGAAAATCCCGATAGTCTGGCGTAATATAATCTGTTCAAAGCTGAATGTCTATTGGATTACTTCAATGAAGTCTTCTCTATAGATCAGGATGATGTCAGCATTGCCCCTCCAATGGATACAATGTTCATAACAAAGGAACTAGTCTTCCAGTTGCTCATCAATCCTAAACCTGGAAAACCCCCGCGTCCCGATGAGTTGCGCCCCAGATTGCTATCTTTGCGAGCGGACATTGTTGCTGAGCCAGTGACCGATCTTTTCAATATGTCCCTATCTCAGACTCGCCTCCCTAGAGACTGGAAAGATGCCATAATCAGCCCAGTTTTTAAAGCCGGTAGTCGCCAGCTGGCGGCTAACTATCGCCCTGTGGGTTTAACTAGCATAGTTATTAAGGTTTTAGAAAAAATAACTCGTGATAAGGCACTTAAACATGTTGAATCAACTAGTCTTTTGGCCACACAGCAACACGGTTTTCGTACTAGACGCTCCTATTCAACAAACCTCCTTATCACAAGAGAGGAATGAGTTGCAGCCCGTGGTTGCAAGCTGCCAATAGATGCCGTGTTAATAGACTTCGGCAAGGCATTCGACAAAGTGTCGCATGTGAAATTACTGGGAAAGTTCTCCTCTTTTGGGTTTGGTGCTTCGTTGCAAGCCTGGATTGGGGACCTTCTGTACGATAGAAGGCGAGCATTGAGGGTAAATGGGATACTGTCTGGATGGAAACCTGTGGTGAGTGGAGTTCCTCAAGGAACAATCCTAGGTTCACTACTTTTCTTGTTATGTGTCAACGAATTGCTAAAAATGCTCAACTCTGCGGTGCTGCTGTTCGCCGATGGTGTAAAGATTTGGAGAGCCATACGCAGTGATGCGGATAGATATGTACTTCAACCGGATTTGGATGAACTGGTAGGTTGGCTTAAACGTTATTGCCTGGGAATCAACTCTAATAAAAGTGAAACAATGCACATTGGTTATAGCAATTGTTTTCAGTATTCCGTTGATGGTACACCACTACGCCCCGACTTTTAACTGAAAGGCTTAGGTGTCATCATTAGTCATGATTTGAAAACCTCAGCGAACTGTAATGCAGCCGTAGCAAAGGGCTTCCGCGTATTACGGTCCATCCGCAGAGCTTTCAAAATTTTTGATCAGGACATGTTCAGAATACTCTATCCTACTTAGGTTAGACCTCGCTTGGAATACCGCATTCAGGCGGCCAGCACATGCCTGAAAAGGGATGCCGACGTACTCGAGCGTGTTCAAAAGGTAGGTACTAAGCTTGTGGCAGGCCTTTCACATCTGTTCTATGAGGAACGACTTAATCGGCTAAACTTATTCCCATTGTCTTACCGTAGAAAACGGGGTGATCTCATACTGGCATTTCGTATCCTTAATAATGGCTTTGGTACTGATATGTCCCATCTTTTCTCCCCTGCTAGGATTGACTACTTCCAAAGGCATCACAAGAAAATTCTAAGACCTCGATCGAATTAACTTAGCGTAAATCTGCGTTCCTTTCATCGTGTAATCAACGACTGGAACTCCTTACCTCAGGAAGTAGTATCAGGACCTTCTGTCAACCCGTTCAAGGAGAAACTAGATCTTCACAGAGATATCTTCTGCAAGAATTAGCATAAGCCAACTGGCCTACTACCTTTATAGCTGAAAACTGAGACTGGAACATTTTCCCTACACCTGGCCCAGTGCTCTTTGGTCCCACATTTAGCCCCATACCTATCACATCTGGCCCTACGTCTAGCTCTATACTTTTACAAATGGCTAGACATCTGGCCCAGCATGCAAATTTTAGGCCCGACAGTTCGCCCCATTGGTCTGACGTTTCGCCTGACTAGCATTGTGGCCCAACAGTTGGCTCCATATGTTCTATATCTGGCCCCACATCAGAGTCGTACCCCACTGCTGGGTCATGAATCTGATGTGGGGTCAGATGTAATGCATATTGGACTAGTGAAACAGTGTTTCGCGCAGTACTGCGCGAGATATTCAACAAAAGACCAACATAAAAAAGTAAATAACCCTAATACCCCGGTTCTACACTTCTCGTTTGCAACATCCCGGCCTTAGGAATGAACTTAGCTTACAAAGATTTATTTTTATGCTTGAGTTTTGAAATAATATTTTCGGGCCATCATCAGATATCTATTTCTCTCTGTAACACGTGTAGAATAAGTCAGTGAGCTGTGAGACTATTGGGCAGTTACAAGAAATATTCTTTTCTGGAACCTTAACGAAACTCATATGCTCCTATTGGTGTTGACTCAGCTCTTTTAGCATCGAGGTTACAGATTTCTCATATCATTATTTACGAGGTAGCAACTTGAGGAACTGCATTTTACACATGTTTCTGCGTCGTTTTTCGACGCGCTTTTTACCTGTATCGTAGGTGAATCTCAATATCAGTTTCTGATGAATATTGTGCCCGTGTTTTCCTGCAAGTAACTGACATCAGAAAGGCTGTCGTATGCTATCCACTATGTACCGATCCGGTTTACTAATCTTATCACCTCATGTGCATCCCCAAAAATTGTCGTCCTTATTGAAGTATGCCAAGAATGTGGTGAATGAGAAGCTATTTTTAGCGGTTCCACATAGTCCGTTGAATTTTATCTATTGGAAAAAGACAGTTACATTGTGTTACACAGTTGCTTATAAGGTTAGTTTCTCGGTTTTACATGGTTTTACATTATCTGCAGGTTTGCCCATCGTTAGACGTTTGCCTTCTACTTCCCAAAACGTTGTACTTAAAACCCTCAGTAAAGTTTGATATTGTAATCTCACCGGAGTCTGAATTCAGTCGATCTTGGATCTTGAGAGAAGTCCACAACATCGATCCACTATATGACGATGATATTATATACGCTGCCAAAGGCAAGATATTTTACTTATTTTATTAGTTTGGAAGATATTTTGCCTCCAAAATTCCTGTTGGTTGGGATTATATTAGAATTGAAAAGAAATCTTCATGAAGTTTGTGTTCTGTGCGTGTAAGGCTTTCGAAACCTTACTTTCTAGTTTCAATTTCCAGAATTCCCCACCTCGTTGTGGTCGTTACCGCCTGTCGGTTGCCTTTTACCAATAAATGCCAGGGCATCCTCTGTGCTTGCTGAGCCGTCAGCTCGCGTCCTCCTTTTAAACCTTCTCGATTCCCTTGTTAGCTCAGTGAGCTGCCACCGCCAAACCTATGTACACTCTTCCACTTGTCTCTTGCGATAAAGTATTCATATGTCAGGCGAAAACCTGTTAGCAGCTGGTCGTTACACACCACATTTTTGCACTTATGACATAACTTTAAGTAAATTCCCACTCTTAAAGGTAATATACGAGAGTATGCGATTCATCGGCTTCGGCTCTCAGCTTCCAAGACGAGTTCATGGCTGCAGCCCTGCACCACCTACTTCAACTAGATAGTATCGTAGGCCCCTGAATATGCTCTATGGTCAAGTAAACGTACATGTACCCCGTTGATTTGCATCGTTTATATTATCATTACTATGCGACAGATGCAACTGATATTTTTGAAAAGGTAATTTTTAAAAATAGAATGATTATTATCAGTCAATTCATTTGCACGGATAGAGGTTTCGTAATCAACCTAATCGTTTCCTCGTCAAATATAATTCAGTGATCAAAATATTTAGTAGGAAATGAAGTAAGTGGTTACGCATAGAATGTATGCAAAGCCTAACGATAAGGGTTATTCTCAATGCTACGTTTGTTTTATTGACGGTTTATTGTCCCATGAAAATACGTAATTCGTTTAGACGGAGTTTAACAGTAACTGTGATGCATTTTCCATAAAGATTTGTTTGGGTGTGAATAAGCATCTGCAAAGAGATCAGATAACGAGCAGTGGTTTATGTTTTGTTAGACGCAGCAGCGAAGCAGTTAGGACGTTTGAAAATTGCATTTTATTTTCGTAACCGATTAATCCAGTGAGGGCTAGAAACAACGTCACAAACTTTCGTAGCTGCCACTACTAATTAGCCTAATACGTGGTCTATGCAATTTTTTCTGAGCATTGTTGTTAATTTTCGATAACAGTTCATGGGTTTGATTTAATCTAGCCCATGTATAAGTTCATTTGTGTGGCTCTGAAAACTGCACTTGACGCTACCACCTAATTTGTTCAAGGGTAGGCAAAGGGTTTTAAACCTGTAACCCCGTTAGCTTAGAATTGAGTACCTCCGAGTCTCGCTACACTCAGCTACAGATATATTTATATTGGTGATACACTATACACTTGTTGCTTGAATTTTTAGTTCGTGGTGTCAGTGTCAGATATTTCTTTAAAGTATCGTGTGAAAAGAGCACGTTTCCAGCTGGTACATATGGAAATCCTAGTTTAATTGTGACTCATCTAGTATGTGTGTTGTTGTCGATCATCACTTTGGGAGTGGTTTCTTTATAGACGTTCGGAATAAAGGTGAAGTAATTAATTTACGAGTAGTTTTTTGTATGACTTACTTATCAGTTGGTTTTATTTTGGCTTATATAATAAAGATATTAATGATCAAATAGCTTATAATGCAAATTTGTCAACTATCGCATCTGCATTATCATTTGTTATCATTTGACTGTCCGAGATAGCCGTAGTTTGGCAGACTGGTATTTATAACTGGGTGATGGTTGAAGGTGAAATGTAGAATGTATGACTAACATACATTTGGTCTGTAATGGAAGTTACCACTTTTATCCTTTTTTTCATTGTAACCAACTCCAACCTTATCTAGTGTTATTGATATTGAATAGATTGGCTGCCAAAAAGGTTCAATCTAACCCATTTTTCAGTTTTATGTTGAGTAAACTTATATTTATTTTTCTTCCAATAACATTATTTTCACTTATGTAGATGAAATTGATGTAGACACAACAATAACTGATGATAAAACAAGTAATGCATTATTTGACGAGTCTTACGAAGATATCTCTCGTGTATGCCTTGGTGGTACTTTTGACCGTTTACATAATGGACATAAAATTCTACTCACTGTTGGTGCCTTGTTGGCTAAAGAACATCTGCTTGTTGGCATTACATGTTCTGAATTGCTTTCAAATAAATGTCTTAGTCCTTTAATATTTTCCTGGGAAAAACGCAACTTGGTTGTCCAAACATTCCTCAACGATATAGGCGTTCAGTCGAAAAATGTGAAAACTGTTGAATTATCTGATGAATTTGGTCCACCAGCATATTCTGCGGAATTCGACTGTATAGTAGGGAGTTCTGAATCTTTTAGTGTAAGTAATCTATTCTAGTTATGTGATATTTCTTTGCATAAACTTGAAGATGTTCTATAGCTGCAACAAGTCAATCTTGATTAAAATGAAAATGATTCAGTATATATATATATATATATATATATATATATATATATATATATATATATATATATATATATATATATATATATATATATATATATATATATATATATATATATATATACGTATGGAGTCCAAGTAATTGTGATTAGTCTTAGAACCTACATGATAACAGTGTAGAGTATTAGCCCTGAGTATTAGAACAGCAAGTCTGTAATCTTGATGCTGCTGGCTATAATTCTACAGCAACCCTTTTATTCCTCTAATTTTGTTTTTGTGTCTAGATTTTAATAAGTACATCTTAGGGAACTGATTTTCCCTCGGCAAGAGTAATTCATAACTATCATTGGTAAAAAGTGTATTTTTCAGGAAATGGAGTTTATAAGTTTTCCAGAAACTTTTGCGTGCCCTCCACTTTCAATAACCATTTTTCAGACCATAGATTCAGACAGTGAACTGCTGCATAGTACACTTGATTTGTAATAGGCAATAAGCTATTTCACAGGTAGTGCAAGTTGACAAAGGCAGCTAAGTATTTTGTATCCGTGCCGAGATTTCTTCTGTAACTAACCTATCAGGCCTTATCCGACTTTTCAGGTAAATAAAATGGTCAGCGCGCCCAACCACTTCACTCCCTTTTGTCAGACAAGATGTCAATATTTTCATCTCGGCAGTTAACTCTTCTGTTAGACTCCGTACCTTGTCACAGTCTTCACCTTACATGACTATCATCTAAGTACTCTTGGCTTACTAAAGTCTTCTTTGATAAGGTCGGATGAAGAGAAGAAGGCCTCCATAAATACATCTTTGATAAAGTTAGGTAATAATGAAGAAAGTGAAAAACCGTCACGGACACCACTGGATGTAAAACCATGTAATTTATCAACCGGGGTGTTTGAATCAAAGACAGTAATTTAAACTGATCCCATTTGTTGGTCTTTTCAGTTTATGAGAAAGGAGAGAATTTCTCTTGAGGTAAAAAAAATCTGATAGTATTTCATTTCAAATTTTCATTATCTTAGAATTGTGAAAAACTGAATGAATTACGGAAGACAAAAGGGTTTAAACCACTGAAAATTGAAACGATTGATTTTGTTTGCTCTGAAAAGTGAGTAAAATTCCCGAGTTTATATGTCTGTCTGTGAAATGAAAAATGCGTTTTCTTCCGTTGGTTTGTTTTATCATGAGATCAATTATCTTGTTTATTTGCTGATGTTTAATGGTAAACAGTTAACGTTTCAGTAATCACCTACATGTTCATGCACTGGGCAATGAACCACATTTATTGTTTAAAGGCTAGTGATACTACTTGGCTACCCAAAATTCAGTTGATGGATCATAATTCAAAAATGGCGCATTTTTTGAAAGTCATCCATCTAGACCAGTAAACCACAACTTCACAAAAAGACAACAGATAACCTAGGTTGTTTGTATTACTTCTTTTTTGTGATATTTTGACTAGTTTTATTTGTTTGTGGTTTAGTATAACTAGCACTGTAAAATTACGGTTATTTCATAGTTAAGCATAGCGAGTACGTGTTTTATGGTCAAGTGTTTATATATGGCATTGAAAACATTGCTTTAACAGCAGTGCGGGATCGGAATCTGTTCATAAAAGTAGTCTAAAAGTGGTCATGATAAACAGATATGACTTGTATGTTTTCATGAGGCACTCGTTGTTGTTTTGACCTTGCATGAGGTTCCTCAATTCCTATGGACTTTTATCCATTATTGAGATCAAATAAAAACATTGGGTCTCGTACCAAGCGTTATCACTGAGTTACTGATCATAACTACAGTAAGCATTCTGGGACTCCGGTTCATTCTTCATATCGATATCGAGTGTTGCCGGTGATCATTAATCCTTATTTCGGACCACCTTTCTTTCATTTTAAAACTTTTAAGATTCTCTTTTAAAGTGTTAAATCGGTATGATACCAGTCACAGGTTGACATAGTGTTATACACCTGTAATATAGCCAAGCACAATCCTGTTGGAAAAGGATTATATAGGAAAGTTCCTGCATAAACTTATTCAATTTTCAAATTTTGGTTTACTTTTTATTTAAAGTAGTCTGTTATTTTAATCCTCTTTAGTATATCACTGTGATTTAAAGTTCGGCTTAGAAATATTGAATTTTAATTGATATTTTTATGCATTATAAATACCATTGTGCATCTGGCGGTCATGGTATTCTTTTAAGTGTTGATCGGGTTAAATATGGTTTATAATCTAAGATTTAAATAAATTAGATGAAGCAATCAAAGTTACAAGTTACTCTGCATATTCACCTTAATTCTCTGTAACTCTAGCAAATTTCCCAGGTCTAGTAAATGAATCACTGAAACATTTTCACGTTTGAGAACATTCGAAGTTATGAAATATGAGACAGTCAAGTTTAGCTATATCTGGTGAGAGTAGGATGATTGTAAAATGTACACAAGCGGCTATACAGCTCACTTATTCCACCATCTTAATTTCAAAACATTGTCATTAGCTCCATTTAATTTTGTTTATTTGATTTATAACAATGATCTAGTACTATTTACTTGATGACGCTTCGAGCATAAATTATTGCTCATAATCATATGATTATCAGCAGTAATTGATCATTCTGCTATCTCGCCACAGCACAGCAGGCCATGACAACGTTAGGGCTCCCAGGCTTGATTTTATATCCGGTCACAAAACCTTCATTATAAGACTTTTGCGCATCGCTCTACAACCAAGTATAATAGGACCATTCATTCATGAGTTTCATCTACAGATTTTTCTTCATTAATTGAAAAGTCGTATAGTTTCTAGGTTCTGTACATGAAGACTTCATTATTTTCATTGGGATTTTTCTTTAATTATTCTGAAACAGTCTAACAACTTCAAGTTGCGATTCTGCACTTTATGAAACGAAGTAATACTCTTTTCCACTAAAGTGATAAAATTATGCGTTGAAACTGGGAAATTGGCTTGAGCTAGATTTTTTCAGTATCCGTTTGGGAGTGACATAGAGGAACATTGTTGTTAGGTGTGTGACGGTTGTTCTGGGAAACGCTAGACTCTACCCTTGTTTTTGATGATACATAGACAATCAAACACGATCAGCGTAGAACCTTGCACAGCAGTGCATCTGTTCAAGTTGCCACACTTCACAGCAGCAGCATGTAATGATGAAAATGACAAGAAGGGTGATATCTAAGACAAATGGGTACCGCAGGAGAAGTAATTTGAGAATGAAAGTTAGTAAAAGTATTCAGATTCAGAAGATATCAAAGAGTAAATGTATCTGTGCCACTGTGACTGGTTTTCAGCCATTTCAGCAACCTCAACCATTGCTTCCTATGGTCTTGGAGACCCCAGCAATCAGTTTACACGGCTCAGAACAACAGTCAAGGATTTCATGCACTGGTATCGCGTCTCACTCTGGCCATCCTGAACCCTCTTTCAAGCTAACCGAACTTCGCCTAGGATTGCACGTCGAGGTAGGCGCTGGCTCAGCATGCGCAACACAGGTCCAAACCACCTCAGTCGAGGAAGGCTCATAACTTCATCGACTGACTTGCCTTCCTTGCCTGATACCCTTCACCTGACTTCTGAATTGCTCACATGGTGATCCCACCATACGTAAGCAATGCTACGAAGACACCTATGGTTATATACCTGTAGTCCCTTCGTATCCCCTACCTTTAAAATCCATGTCTCACAACCATGTTACAACACAGAGAGGACTGCAGTGCAGTATAATCGTTCTTTAGCAGCTATTTGGATATTTTGCCAGTCGGTATCATAGATGATGGAAGTTGACAAATGCAAGGTGTGCCTTCTGTAACCGTGCTGAAATTTCGTCAACAACCAGCCCATTCGGGCCGATGCAATTCCTCAAGTAAAGGAAGCGATCGACGCGGTTGAGAAGTGCACTTTCTACTCGAGAACTTAATGCATTTCCTACACCACTGAGTCCACTAGTGCTAGTCATTGAATTTCCGGACACAAACTTAATTTTCCAGATTCATCGTATTGGCCCATCGAAGTCAAGTGGATAACCACAATTGGGTCCTGTGTACCTATCTCAGAAACAGCATAAATAGACGGTTACAGATTTCAGAGTTTTGACAAGAGGTGCATGTTGTCCGATTCGAGCGTTAAAAGCTCCAGTGGGAAACAGCGGGGTTTTAGGAGACTAAGAGTGGTGTTTCGTTGGCTTGGATCTCTGGCAGTGGCTGTAGGCTAAGAGGTTGAGAAAGTTGTAAAGGGCTTAATACTGGTATCAGGAAATGAAGGCAAGGGAGAAGACAAAGTAAGAAGGGTAGGCTATAGTTGGCTGGACTTTGCATACTGCATGTTTCTCACAGGTACTTCCTGGTTGCCCACACCGTATAATTCGTTTCTGTGCGACACCTGAAGGAGATAAAGGAATAGTTTTATGTAACTGCAGGGCCCATGAGATATCTGTTTGGGGTTCCTGTCACCCCCACCCTGTTTAAGGATTTTTTAATTGAGATTTCATTGTGCTAACGCCGGGGAGGAGTGTGCTATTTTTACCGACAACCTTTTCCAACCCTTCTCATAGGGGAGGCCTCATGAGCATGGTGCTGCTAGTCATCCCTGGAAAGTACCTTACTGCTGTCGCTTTCTGTCTGGCCAGCTGTACGTCTTCGCGCTGAAACCCTCATCAAAACGCAGCTCTTTGCATCGTGACGGCATCTGCTTTTTGTCTTACCACTATACAACAGACTTTTCTGGCATCGGACCTCAAAGGTACGAACGGTCTACCAGCATAGCTCATCAGGTCACTATGATATGTAGGCCTGATCACCATATCAACGTAGCAGCTTTCAGTCGAATGACTTGAATAACTGAGAAGAAATGTGCAATACAAACTAAAGTATCAGAGTCATTGATATAAGTTTTATCAGGATTTTAGAGTTATCAAAATGTATGGTTTTTACCATGAGTAAAATAAATTTCTTCCTTGCCAACCATTCAAATCCGAATTTCTTGTACAAGTGAAGTTTTTCCTAAAATGATTGCTCCCCGGAACTCCGTCCCCACTGTTTTTTCAACTTGTGTTTCAAAGGGAAGAACATCAGTAATTACGCTGCTGACAAGCTTTGCTTTCGATTTGTTGTTGAAAAGAATCTGGTTAGCTTGAATTATGTCGATGATAAAGTTCTTTTTGACAAGAACTAAGAAATTTGGGATCTCTGAAAACAGTTTATTTTCAGCATACGTCCTGCTTATGTTAACTGTACGATTATGCTACAAAACTAGTTTGTAATGAAGTCGATTTAAAAATAGCAAATGAATTGGTTAGATGCGTTGATCATTATATATTTAGGAAGTTGCATCAGCCTTCATAGACTGAATGCTGATGAATCCTCAGTGAGAATAAAAAAGATTGTTCGGTAGTGACCAACTTTCCCTATTTGTTGTACTGTGTACGAGTAAAATGCCCTACCGTACATGTATAAAGAGTGGCTACCGAAGCAAAATGATAACTGTTAGCTATAGGTTGTCGACCATAGACCCTTCAAAGGACCACGTGGTAAGCCTAGGGATAAGGTTCTGGGGAGCGGAATTCATTTGGCGATATGGCTGGAGTACGTTGGTCATGTCGAGTCACCACCTATTCTAGCGTGGTGTTTCAGTTGGTGCAAAAATAAGTTGTAGGAAGAGGTGACCAGATGAAGGCATACAATTAACCCATGAATTTGGTCTGAGGCGTATGGGTAGTGTGAGCTAAGTATTTGTGGTCTTCAAAACGTTAGAAAATGATGTTCGGAAACCCTGAAAATCGATGGTAATTGTACATATGGATTCACTTTGTATCGCTTAAGGTTTGTAAAATTTATTGCTCTTCAATTGTCTTTTCTACGTAGTTTAATCTTTTCATTCCTATGAATTTTTTGGTTCTCTGATTTAAAAGAGTAGCAAATAGGACCGTGATGCTTATATGAAGGGTTGTAAATTTGTCTACTTACCTGTTTAAGACCGTATATCATAATTAAACTGCCGGTTAGCAATTTGTCAAAAATCTGGACATTCCCAAGAAGAACTGTCATTTATAAATAAGGTGGAGGGTTTTAATGACTTCCGGAACTCATGGATTATGTTTAGAGTTCATTGATGTTAATAATCGATTCATACACACCGATTAAGCCTGCCCTGTTTATTTCTCCTTTGATTATGGGGTTATATTGTTATAAAAGGAACTCTGCATAGATTTTATGTTGCATTATGGCTGCTGTTACTACTATTTTGCAATCATGTCCTGTTTCTTCTGTATGTATGTATTTCTCTATTTCGTGTATCATATATTGGTTTTCAACCACTTGAAATATCCTAGTTTAGTACTTTTCGTTCTTTTTCTTCAGCAGTACACTGTATGAATCTAAAACTGATCCCTTTGATTCCTCTGATCTCAAGCTGAGTTCCTCAAAACTCCGATTCAGTGAACTCGGCAACTTACTAAAGCCTGTCAATAACACATATCAAACAAATTTTCGACATAGCCCATACATGATCGGCTTGACAGGACCTTCTGGATCTGGGAAATCATCGTTGGCTAAACGACTTCAAAATTTAAGTGAACAGGTCCATGTAATAGATTGTGATCGTCTCGGTCACGAAACATATGTGTAAGTGCTTAAATAACTCTTTATTACTAAATTTCGTAGTTGTTTTGGAGAATGTGTTGTAAATTACTAGGAGGAATCCTCTATTTCTTTCTATCTTACAGTTTGTTCCCGTTAATATACGGTTTATCCTATTCAGACCGATAGTATTAATGGTATAAAAGTTAGAATCGATCCATGATAAATTACTTCTGTATACACTGAAATACATAGTTCAGTTTTCAAGTAGTTTGAACAGTTCGTATGCTTCAGAAAGTTTGATTGAGTCTTTCAACATGGAATCTGAATTTATTAAAACTTAATTTGATGACGCTATTGAACTCAGTGTAGAAGATACGAAGCACCCTTTTAACCAAATGCATTAGAAGCATACAGTTCTGACTTCATCATAAACTTGATTTGTAGATTTCTTTCTTCTCATCGAGTGGTTCATTCTGTTGTATCATATTACCGTTCTTATTATTTCCCATAATTTTTGAATTTTCGCATTCTCACAACTAAACATAGGTTCATAATTTGTCCCACTATTCCATTTCTTATCAACAACTTCCTATCTGAAACTGATGATAAGCCAAGAAACAAAACAAACTGATTTTATGCGATAAATCTAGTTACTTTTTTTTGATGAAATATTGGTAACAATTCCTATCTTTTTCCAGCTACCATCCCTAATTTATTCAGTTTTTAAGGTAATATTAACTAGTGTAAAAAATATTCAGAGTACAGAATACACTCATATTACGTGATACATGATTACAGTAGTTATCGACCAGTTTAGCAACAATCACTAACAAATAAGAGCTATGATCATAATGATGAATATGTTGTAATCAAAGGACAAATGTCGACTAGTTCAGCTACACATCATTTTGATCACAACAGAGTATTCATGAACAGCATTCTGAATTAGAATGTTATTTTGTGACGATCACCTATCGAGCTTACAATATTGGGAGGCACCGACTCTCAAAAGTGACCGAGTTACTACAGAGAGATATTAGTAGTTGGTTGAAGATTGACTGGAACGTGCGTTGGATTTTATTCGCGCATATTATAATCAGTTTGACTGTAGATCAAGTGCAAAACAGCGATTTTATCATGTGCCTTTAGTTTGTGAGATCCTATATGTTTCAAGAAGTAACAGCTGAAGCAGTTTATCTGCAACACTGCTTGTAAAGCTTCGTGCCAATAGGCACATCCACCGTTCTGAAACAGATAGTCATCAGTGTATTCACTGAATTTATGAACTACGCGGAGAGATACTTTCTTGAAAACATATCCTGAACGCTTAATGTACTTGTTGTCTTTATAATGTTTCCCTAGTCCTGGTACTGCGTGTCATCAAGCTCTTTTATCGCATTTCGGACGAGAAAATATCGCTTCTCCAGAACCTCCTTATCCAGTAGATCGGCGTTTGTTGGGGAATTTAGTTTTCTCTGATCCCTGTCGTCTGAAGGAGCTAAATGCAATAGTTTGGCCTGAAATAGTCAAACGATTCCTAGCAATTATAAAACAAGTAGAAAGTGAAACTTTAAAACAAGGTCAGAATTCCAAACGTCCTGTTATTCTTTTAGATGCCGCAGTACTTTTGCAAGCTGGTTGGGATCAACTGTGCAATGAGGTTTGTTTTTTTGATACATATTATTCACATATTTAATTAGTGTGCAAATTAAACTGAGCCTCTTACTATCATTCTTGATACGCTGTCTACTATTCGTTTCTCAGCAGTAAGAGTGAGCCCGTTTAGACGATTCTTGTCCAGATGTCGAAGATACTATAAAAAAGTAAGTTACTTAGCAGCCACTCTCGAAGACAATAGTTCTGTAAACAGGAGCAGTTTTGGAAGCTAATTATGAAGGAACCCGTCTTACCAAAGATTTCTCGCTTACTTTTTGTCCCAGTGATTCAACCGACTTGGTTAAGTACATAAATGGGTTCAACTCAACAATCATGTACTAGGCAATGGATTACACCTGACTGTCCATACCTTATTAGGTGGATTGGAGTGACTAACTAGTTGCACGTCAACCGCCTAGACCCATGAAGTTTAGCGTAGCAACAGTAAGCAAACAGTGTTTGCTTCTTGGTATTGCGTCCTTAAGAAATCTTTGTCTGATTTCTCAAAGTTTTCAGAGAACATTGCTTAATTGTTAACCTCAAACTCAGTTGAACTAGTCTTGAATTTTCAAATTGATAATCGGTGTGTAGCCACTGTGTTGGTTTTTAATCGTATGCATATAAAATAAGGTGCTTCGCTTGTTTGTATTCATGTAATCTAGCTGTTAATGCTAGGTAGGCAACTATATAAGCAGTACTTATCTGCGATGGTAAATTTGATATAGTTTTGAACCTAATTGTTACTCTCAGGGGTTGGATTACTGGGAAATAGAACTGGAAATGAAAACTCGTTCTTATGTCATATTATGGAATTTATAATCGATAATACTATCACATGCCACCCTCTATGTAGTTGTGTTTGCTAATCCATTTGTTTATTTCTTGGAAATTACTATTATCCAGGAGAAATTTATCTATCTTCAGGATACTGATAATTTGGAATGCTTGCCTAAAACTAAATGTCGTTAATATCCTTGTTACGTTTTATAGTTTGTTTAAAAGTTTACTGACTCAGGTGTTGCAAATGTCAATTTATGGAGCTGGATTCTGTGAATGAGACATAGTTTTATACTTAGAAAAAGCTGGTTGCTTATTTTATTTGTCAGGCTAAATATTGCATTTGGTCTGTAGTCGAGCGAACCACAGCATTTGCAGAAAGACTGAGAACGTCTGTTTTGTCGTGATAGAAAAAAAATGTAGTATCGAATACAGAATAAGCTTACTATTACAAGTTGGTGGTTTGTTCTACGCTTAGAGAGGATCGATCATCTGCACCCAAAGACATCGAATTGCTGGCTTAAGTCCTACGCCAATAAACCATCTTTGTGTAATAGTGTCCAGGTGATTTTCACTAAATCAGTTGGGAAGTTCTTGACTCAGTAGTCATAGCATTTGACACATGCATGTTCGGCCATGGAGCTTGAGTATGTTGGCTTATAACAGGAGTTTTTCTAGGTCTTTTAGTCACAAATGCAGAGCCTCACTTTTTCCTTTTCAGGTATGGCTGACTATTCTACCCCATTCAGAAGCTCAGCGTCGATTGTGTGAGAGGAATAATCTAAGTCCTGAAGCTGCATCAGAACGCATTGCACGACAAGCCTCTGCGGTTGCTGAGATGACAGGTGGCTACACGTGGTTTGAAGCAGGTCAGTATTGCTCTCAGAAAAGCCCACTCGACCGTGCGCATGTAATATTATGTACACAATGGAAACCAGAATGTTCACAATTTCAAGTTGAGAAGGCATGGAAAGCGTTACAGCAAAGACTGTCACCAACTTCCTCTGCTGAATGAGTTGCTGCTATGGAATTCACACTTCTATCTTGTTAATCTAGCCTTTGATCCAGTCAAGTCAGCTGGTGATAATTTCTGGTACTCCAGGCAAAGGGCTTAACGATCATTGTTGCATTTTCATGAATAGCAATTACAATTCTATATTCCTGTTATGGTTCTTAAATACAAGTCTTACGTACAAATGTTTATGATTTCAGTACTAAAGTGGTACTTGGTCAATCAGTCTGCTTGCAAAGACATGGATACAAAAAGTGTGGTTAGTAAAAGTGTATGGAGAATTAACTTCCAAGTGGTTAGCTTTCAATGGTTCTATAAGGTACAAGACTTATCCTTCTCCATCATTGTCTCACTAATCCTTCACCATTTTGCCCTAATGTCCTTGATAAGCCTAGACTGTTTACTCTTGGCGCTACCCTTTCCATCTCTTTAGACTTCGCTGCCCACCACTGTTCGCAGTCATTGGGCATACTTCCCGTCAGTCTGAGTTTGTGTTGACTACGCTCCTCGTTAAGCTCAGTCTGCAGTGATGCGTTTGTGTGCATCCATTAATCCAGAAAAGCCGCTGAGATCCACTCATCCTTTTCTAATCTAAAGGGGTTAGATAGTCAGTTACAGTCTTTGACGCTGCTTTTACTGAAGACTGGAGACGGCGAAAGACCTCTTCCAGATGAGTGACGCTATCATGTTTTGATAACTATTCAGCCAGTTTCTCATGGAAATCAGCCTAAGTATAATTATCGTTTGGTTGCACTCGGAATGATCTTCTTGCTGTAGTTTTTTTACGTCCATTTAGGCATAGATACGTGCGCTTGGTGTCCAATACCTGCTCCAGGAGGAGTGGCAATCTTCCATCGACCCTTCCCAGCGATAACTGGTAGCAATATAGCGTATCCGTGTCCACCGCTGACTTGAGTTCGGTGAACGCCATGTCAGACAATGTCCCTCTTTATGTCTGAAGTGCGTGCTGAGCATAATTGTAATACTCAACCACCGTTATGTGTTTGTTCGGCTGGGATTCCGAAAGGGCCACCTAAGTGCCTTTCTGTTTGACTTAGTCTACCAACTTGTGCATTGAAACCACCTACTACGACAACCACTTCTGAACGCTTGGCTTTCAGTAGCCGGCTGGACAATTTTCGATAGAATTAGTCCTTCACTTCATCCAAACTGTAAGTTAAAAGGTGCGCAAGCAGAGATTGCAAACAGACAATGGCGGGTTCCACTATTCCTTTTAGTCCTTACTGTGCCATTCAATCTAACAGCGCATTGATGACCGTCAAATGTGATCAAGTCCAGCAGAGCACTTTCTGCTTTAGCATCTGATAACTATACCAATGGATCTCCAGAAACTCGAAGGGTATAGTTTTCAAATTCACCATATTGGTCGGATGAGGTTAAGTGAATGACCGTACTTGGGTCCTGTATGCGTGTTTTGCAAACATAACACACATCTATGGCCAGAGTTTTGGCTAGCGAGGCTTGTTTGTCGAATTGACGGAGGGTACAGATACTGGGAGCTCCGGCGTATGTTTTGAAGCACAGTTTCAGTAGGTCAGGTATGCTGTTTTGTGAAGTCGAATCACTATGAAGAGCTGGAAGAAATTAAAGATGTTGTGGGAATGTTGATCGACAGATGTGAAGAAAGATGAGAAGGTAAGGATGTGGGAGGTTGATAGTGATGTGAGGGAGCTTGATTGCTGAGAGATTTGTGGTGGGGTTTGACGCGTCCCGGTCGAAAGGTGAATGAGTGATCGTAGAGTTTAAGGGATATCCTACTTCAGGACGGTTGCACACAGTCTTTGTAGAAGTTTGATATTTAATTCTGTTATTTTGTAGTCCAACTATGAACCCATATCGCGAGATCCGACCATCAGCTTATACATCAGTAGTTTTCAACTAACACGACTGAATCCTGTAAATACTGTTGGGTTCTCAATGTGGATATAGTGGTAGATCAAGAACCTTACTTACAAAGTCAATAAAGCAGAAACAGCATTTGCGACAATATAACGGGTTATAGGTTTCCCTAGAAATAAGTGAGCTTTCTGAATGCGATATTTGAGACACAATGACCTAGTGAGCTGAAAAGTTTTGAGTGAGGATAATAGGCCTGAGCAGGTTGGAGGACGCATTACATATACACAGTTACTGTCTACTTCAAAGTGTAGTGCTTGTTGGAATCCGTAGAAATCTTTCTTTACCGCACCCTACTTTTATACACAACCTGTTATTTTTTTTTACTAAACTGTCTTTGTTCATCCGATTTAACATTCACTCCATGTTTCAATACCCTTCTTACTTATGATACACTTTACTCGTATAACGTTCATCGAAGTTAATACTATTCATTTTCACCTTTCAGTGTTACGCAAGTCGTATAATTGTTTATATAATCAATTGTTTGGAACTGAATCCCAGTAATAATTGATTCTGATTTTACTCTTCACAGACCTTCCGGAAGAGAATTTCCTAATTGTATATTATTAACAAACGTTTTTAGAAAATTTCACGTAATTCCACAATATGGACATATAACTCTAAAACCTAAGGAATTCACTGAAAAGAATGTTTCGTTTCTTCAGATGTCTTATGAATCATAAGTAGAGTTTCTAAGGAATCTCGAGCTGTCAACCTAGGGTATGACATCACTGATTATTATTCCGAGCCATGTGGCAAGTTAGAGACTATTGTAGGACAATCGGAACAGACTAGAAAACAAGTTATAGTTGCAAAGTAAATGTGAGTAAAGTTGATGCATCTACTATCTTCCTAGCTTTAAAAAAGAAACAAGAACACCTATCTGCCCTTAACTTCCTATACCTCTCTAGTTTTTTTACTACTTCATTCCACCTGATTCTATATTCACCTTCCTTTTTGAAGCATAAAGGTGCGAAACGATGCACTACAGTACTTTGTTGAATGTTGTTTCAGTTGAGTTTAGCCTTAACAGAGCAGATTAACACCACTAAATTTTTGTATGTATGAGAAAAGTAGGCCTGATATTGAGGAGAACGACCAAACATTTGTTTTGAACTACTTCTTTTCAAAAAAATATGTAAACCTATTTACAGATCACGAACAGTAAAAGAATTGTAACTCTTACCAGAAATTAAAAAACAAAAAAGTCAGTTTAACATATTGAAGTGGATTCTTCTTTTATGTAAACACAACAGTCGAATAAAATTAAATAAAAGTAATAAGAACATGATTACTGAAATATCTGTCGAATAGTGTAAGATGTTCAGTCTAACAAGCATAAAAGTAAATGATTTACATGCACTGCAATAGTTTCAAGTTCATGGCAGTTCGGTATAAAATAAGTAGGTGTAAGTTTGCAAGAATGGCATTTTCAAATATTTTTCTTTCTTAATGGAAAGAAGGCGGCTATTTTCAACTATCATACAGAAGAATAAATAGTTAGCAATATATTCATATACTGCGTTCTAAAAATATGTATCTGTATCAATATTAACAGTTAGTTGGCGGCAGATCGGGCCATACAGGATCACTGTCAATATTAGGAACTGAGCATAGGTTCGGGTCACTTGTTTGTTGTATATTTTGGTATGGGATACCATGTTGTGGTCTTACTGACGGGCTACCTGAAAGAGTAATGATGCCACCAGTGTTTGTTTGCCCACTTGGATGACGTATTATATGTGATTCATTTCCTGGTAGATAGGCAGAGAAATTTATGTCTATCCGCTGCCTAGGAGTTCCAATATTTTCATCGTCCTCTTCTGCAACTTCACTGAAGTGCGCCGAAGGTATTCTTCGTCCATCCGAAGGAGTTCGGATGATACCGGGCTCACTAGACGCAGCAAATGTGCCACGTTCCATATTGCTTCTCGCTCCTGATAGCGAAACTAAATTGCCAGTAGAAGTAATGGGTGCAAAAGAAGTATGTGGTAGTTGATATCCAGGTAAATATCCAGATGTGGGAAAAACGCCTATACCTGATGAAATCGGAAATTGCGTGGAGTTAAAAGTTACATCGTCTCCAGCAACAACGCCAGGAGTGCTACCTGCCATACCACGTTGCGAACTGTAACCACGACTGGAATCGTGATGCTGTCGCTGCTGTCTTCTTCTGTGAAAAAGTTCATGAATATAAAGGGCGCTGACTGACATATCTGCTGTTAGCACTTCCGTTATGGCGCAGCGACGGCCACCTACGCTTCCAATAAGGCTGTTATTAAAGCCCGTATGTTGACTCAAACCATCTTCAATTTGTGAATTATAAGGTTGGTAAAAAGGAAGACCTAGAGTATCGGCAGAATGCAGGGCAGACGCTGCCATCAAGCTCATTGTTATAGGTGTAGGTCCATCAAGCATAGAACAATGAAATACAGCAGGACTGAGCTGAGATCCAGTCAATTCTGAATTGGATTTCAATGGTGCAGCATTAGTTTGTGAAGCAAGTTTTGTAGCACTATTACTTACACAGGTTGGTAATTTGTGTGTGTCACAGTCACCACGGGGAGTTTTTCCTAAAACAGGTTCTAACGTCTGGGATTCGGCAACATTTGGATCAGAACGATGCATTGGTTGAGTGCCTGAACTTCTCATTGACTCGACCATAGCTCCTACAACACCGTAGGTATTTTCGGACCTTAATCCAGAACCTGGTAAATGAGAAACATTCTTCAGAAGACTCGAACTTTCTGTACAAGCATTAGAAAGTTGTTGGTGAGTACTCTGGTATATACTTGTCATCATGCTAGTCTGTGCACCATATAGAGTTGAAAACATCCCTGGTGTTGGTTGTGAAGTAGTTCCATCAGCTTGGATATCATTCTTATAGTTATCTTGGAATTGTGCTAACTGTTGCTGCTGTTGTAAATCTAATAAAGCTTGATTTCTGACTGATTTCAGATAAGCTAAACCATCTGGTGGAAGTTTCCAAGATGGATTAGTAAGATGGAAGTGCATTAGACTAAGTTCGATTTTACCACCAGCAGCGCTATGATGAATTGAACTAGCATAATTACCTTCTACAGTAGTATCATTTTGTCTGTTAGGAGTCACGGTAGATTGGTCGTAAGTAGGAGTGGCCTTCGCCACCCGCTTACTATGTTTAGTCATCTTCTTTGAACATGAGTGAACTTCGCTTGTATGTTCATCATTATCAGTTGCACTTTGATCATCACTACTGCTCTCTACATTCGGTTGCCACATAGGGTCACCATGACGGCGTATATCCAGTTGTGCAAAGCTGCAAACATCTCCAACACCTGGAACTTCAACTGTATAATTCCGGAGGAAATCAACGATTTCAAGAGTATGGTTGGGAAGGACAAATATAAGAATTAGAGGTGTAATAATAGGTGAGAGTAGCTCTTCCAAAAGACCAACCATGCGATACTGAAACAATTGTGAAAATTCTGATCTGACTTGATATGTACCAGCTTGTTCTTTCCAGTGGTCTGGCATATAATGAATACGCATTAAGGTTGACACTAATAAATTACGTGGACAATAAACCATATTTTCGTCTGGAATTAACGATAGACATGATCTAGCCAGTAAACCACCACCAACCAGGATAGCCAAGTAACCTGGTAAATGCATCATTTGTTCGCGTATGAGGCCAGCAGTAAAAAAGGCTACTGAGGCGCCGCCAAAAATAAAAGCCCCTGTTTCCGCTAAGACTGTAAGTGGTTGTGATACAAAACTATCAAGATATCGAGAAGCTGGGATATATGCTTGCTTCAGGCGTGTTCCGAATTCATGTTGAAGTTCGTTGAAGTGTCGTAGATACAGGCGAGCATAATTAGACCAGCGACGTCCAAACAGTGTTGAGGGTTGATATCGAAAACGCTCTGCATTAGCACATATAAATGCGACTAGTTGAGCGATAAATATAACAGGAGCCATTAAGATATTTATGAAACCAAGAATACGCACACGAGCAGCTAATTCGACAGCCAGTTCATGACGTTTAGTAACCCATTTATAATCGGCTCTCAGTTGCCAATAATTATGGAAAGGTGACCAAGGTGTCCAAAACAAGATAAGTTTCAAATTGAACAGGTAGCCATCGGGTAGATAAACAATTTGCGGAAGTATATTAGACGACATCCGAAACCTGATAGGAATAATATCTTGATTGATCATTGCGATCAAGTAGTTTTTATGTCGAAGAATACGATTATATATATCCAACTCATCTAAATTCACCTTGTATACACAGAACTGAAAGTCCCGTTGTGATTGAAGCAACCTTTGTTGGACTTCAGACCATGTTAAATCAGACAATCCAACATCACTTGTAGGCATATCCAATATATTAGTACAGAACCGACGAATTTCCCAAAATCTACTTAGTTGAATCCCGACAAATGTGATTTGCACTAATATTGTAATCACAGCGCCCACAACTAAAAGTGATGCGGAAAACGGCAGGGAAGCCCAGCACTGGTTTGGTGGTTGGAAGACATCAGTCCAGTTTTCAACCGAAAGACTACTATTAGTTAAATAACTCCATCTTGTGCATACAGATAGCTCAATTGTAATAAAAATGACAAATGCAAATTTAATCAACCAGAGAATTTGTGTAAGGAGAATCACCTGAAAAGCATAGAAAGAAATTTTTATATACCACATGACCCGTTAAGAAAAGGAAGATATGACAATCATGTGAGCATAGCATACAACGTTGCACGAATTTTAAGGCTATAGTACCATTGAGGTGTAGATTTATTAGATCGGTCGATAAACGAAGGCAAAAAACGAAGTCAAACAGAATATTTACCATAATTTGTTGATACTTGTAATTTCCCGATGCTACCACTGAGTCGAATTGATCGACCGTTGTTAGCTTATGGAAGCCTATGCGGGTGCTGTCTGAATATTTGTTATAACTTACGGAGTAGTGATATGCACACAATTTTTGAGACTCTTAAGTAAGCATCGATTACCGTCTTTTTAGTTCATGTTAACCTAATGGTTTCTTAATCGAAAAATTTGAAGGCGTTGTAAAGTGATGGTAGGTAGATGCAATAGGAAAATAACTTTAGAGTATTGAAATATGGTTCCATTTCCTCTTTTGTATTCTCCTGGTTCCAAACTTTCTAAACTAAAAAGATACATGTGTTTCCTTTAAAAAATTCTAAGAGTCAACACAGAATCCTAAAGTCAAGTAATATCTCAACGTTTGTTAACTCTATAAATGAATGGAAGAGGAGGGGATATGCTCAGCTTATGAAGTGGCATTGTGGGATGGTTTTTGTGCAAAACTGGCATACATTGGTGCATCACAACTCCCTAAATATAGTCTAAGCAGTTATGAGACAGTGGCTTGAGGTAATATCATATAAAACGTAAAAATCCTGCAAAACTTTGTTAGGCATTCTATTTATGAGTAGTAATAAGAAATCATGAAAACTTCTCAAGCGCATGTTATATGAATGCTTATACTTTTTTTGACTAGTTTCATTTTTATGTTCTTTATCTGTATGTTCATAATGTTGTACTACTTTAAACGGAACACTTCTTGATATCCATGTTGCACCGAATGTATGTGGATAAAATGTAATACCCCGGATTGAAATGAACAGCAGTGATGTTAACTGGTTTTTAACGGTTAGAAAGAACATTATCACCAGAAACATCTGTTGATTAGCTACTTGTAGATAAAATGGTTTGGGTTCTAGTGGGAGAGAGCTACTTCTGTGGCAAATCAAATGCTTTTTGAAGAATGAGTGATATAGTAAGCCGTACGGTACACTGTTAAGAAGTCATCGATCATATCCTTTGACTGCATTATATGCACTTACACAATATAGCTACCTCACCGTTATGCTTAAGCATATGTTGGAGCTTAGAACTATTTACGTGGTGCTTCACCCGGTCCTGGTAGTTGTATGGATACAGTGGTGATTGAACACAGAAGATGGTCAAATGTGCTCCGTTAGCACTTTCAGAGCTTTTTAGATATGCTAACTTTTCGATTATTTTTGATGATTCACTAGTAAGTGTGCTTGTAGTAATTTTACTAAAATACTTTGCACTTGAATGGTGCAAACCACAATATTATAACTGTGAAACCTGATAGCGATATAACTAATGGTTTTAGTCAGGCAGTTTATTGTTCGCAACTGAAATTCTGTTGACATTACTAAATTAACTTATTACCTAGCTCATCTAAGGCCCTTATGATATGACCAAACACCAACAATTCGAATACAGTCTTGTTCGAGATGTACCATCAAGTGACAAGAGCATGGAAATGTATTCCAGTAGTGGGGCAATTCAAAGACATACTGCAGACAACAGACAAACAGTTAAAATAAGCCCCTTATTCATATTATTTTGGAACCTAAACTTCGATGGGTGAAACAGTGTCATAACTGAGAAGAGTTCTAAATTAAATTTGTATAGTGAATGGGTACGAAGGTAGTTACGAAAATACGCAATATTTCTGTGGTGTTTTACAATTCACAAATTAATTAATATCTACCTTGATTATTAAGAAAATCTGATTACTTAAAATCACACAAAATAATGGCATTTAGCTAGATCAAAGGTTACTGTCAAACTTCATATGCAGGACATAGAGTTTAGGAGTGGCATATGCAAGCACATGAGCGCTCGCTATCAATTAAATCCGGACTAACGGAAAAAGGACATAAATTAACACTTAGTTGGAATCGAAGTTTATTTGAATGAAGAGCATTGAGTGAACGTATATCTACTATGAGGAAATCAAATAAAACAATAAAATTAGTCTGAGTAGGGATAATAATATCATGACGAAAATCGAAACGAGTATAATTCACTGGAAATGATCTACGTAGGTGTTTTGATTGTTCGCTACTTTGTATTTGCACATTTGCGATCAAGTCAACTAAGTGAAGTTAGACACACTGGAGGTAGAACCTTCCAAAAAACACTTAATTCTCTCTAGTAAACGTTTTTACTCTGTTAGATGTAAGCATAAAAAGAACTGATGAAATTGCATGCCACGTCAAACAATAGTCTCTAAAATCACCTCAGTATAGTGAAGAGATGTCAACAGGAGGGTAGACAGAGGGAGTGAAGTAGTGATATAGTTAATGGTAAGGATAACAACAGGGAAGTAACGAATAAGTGAGAAAATGGAACAGAATTATATAACACTCAAGATTTAAAGGAGTGGAATATTTGTATTTATGTACGTTAGGATCGTGTTAGTTAAGTTTTATAACAAGATCTGATTGTTTAAAATTGAACCGCAGTCAGCAAAAGCGACAGTTACTAAGGGGTTTAGACCGGTAGACACAAGCTTCGTGGATTAATGTTCTACTCTGGCATAACCATCACAAGGTCCTTTATATCTTAGTCATTTACCTACACAGAGGTAGGCGGTCGCTAAACACGCGTACTACTTTACTTGACTACTGCGGTCTGTGACAAATTCATAATCTCTGCGTAGCGATCGTAGCCATCAAGCGATGTAGAGTGGTCTACTGTATGGTGTGGAACTGTGGCTCATAGTTTTAGTCATTAAAATTTTAAACAGAGGCACGGGTTTAAAAGCCACTCAACTTACTGAAGTTTTGTTTTCCAGGTAGTAAGTATCATTAACCTTCATACAATAGGCATGACTTAAAGCATAGCACACGGACTAGTATTCAGTAGTACTGCTGAACTTATGTGCTATGAACTTTGTACATACTAGGCATTTGAACATTGGGAAAGTATATAAACCATATGGTTCCCCACACAATAGCAGTAACGACCAAAACAGAGAAGTACTGCTTTTTAATCAGCTGTAGCTCTTCTCTGAATTACCTGAAGGTTTTTATAGTGTAAGCAGATTAAGGATTGAAAAGTTTGCGTTGAAAACTAACGTGTTATCGAGAACCGTAAAATTGTAATGTACTCGGCGACCACCTGTACGTTCGTGCAGTAGATGATGACCACATATATTGTGTGAGGGCTAATGATACTACCTGGTTGCCCAAACCTTAGTAGATGAAGCGGGTTTGAAACCTTAATCACAGGAAATTAATGAACACTTGATAGAAATTCCTTTTGATTGACAACTTTCGGTTATGAGGGCCACTAATGTCTTTTGAAATCTAATTTACAACTTTGAGACTCAGTTGTTAGCACATTATAGATGTCCTAATGATTTGGGATCCAAAAGCTACACTCTTATTTTCATTCAATTAAGTGATTTGAGAGAGCTGACCATTACACTTTTGTGTGAATTAATATAATTGGAAAACAATGTATTCATAAAATAAATATGTGAACGCTTGAAATCTACTGTACACAAATACTAAAATAGCTCAGTTACTTAACCTAGGTTTAATTCAAGTTCATCACAACTGCAACAACTTAGTCACCTTATTTGCATAATAGTCTACGCCTAACATCCAAACTACTGACTCTATAGAACCACTGCACGAGCAATGGAGTAGATAGACCTACATACGAGAGTTTGTAGCCTTCTACTGTCATAGACCTACAATGGAACACAGAGCTGCGATAGAGTAGTAAATATGCTCCCCGGTACGGAAATGGATATTTTGTACGTGCCATGGCTTAAGTATGCTCATTTAATGCCAAAAGAGGTTTTTATGTCTGTTCCAGGATGTCATCAGTAAAGAGTCAATGAGGATTAATGTAAGTTCCCGAACAAATAAAGCGTTTGGTGCAATTAGCCAACTCACTATTCGTTCTCAAACCTGTGAAGACTAGTTCAGTGATGTCATCTTACGTTTAAAAGAAGTGAAGGGTATACCACATATATTCAAACTTCTGCTGAAATCGTCTAGAAAACCCTTCATCTTATGACAGTCTTCAGTAAATAGGAAGATATAGTCCGCCTGCTGTAGGTCATCTGAGGGGCCACTCAGTAATCAATCAATCGTTTGATAGTGGGAGATAAGTATAGGTACCTCCACGAAATACATGACAGGAAGGATGATAGTAAGCGCCAATTGCTAACATCACCTTTTCACAAGTATTAGCCATTTAATCTCCCGACAACCGTAGGTGAATAACTGCACTTCAATCATACATTAGAATTCCGACCTAGGATGCCACTTTTGACCACTAAGTTGGAATCGAAAGCCCCAAAATGCAACATGCTTTCAGATAACTGAAGATGGTGTTCTGCTGCTTAGTATCCATAGCGACAGCTGAACAATAAAAAGTTAAGAAAAATGTGGGAAGCCTTGAAGTTCACAAAGTAGTGAATAGGGATAGAGACAATGGGGAAGGCAGTTGATAATTTTCGGCTGCTCATACAATGAGTCTTTTTGGATTTTCTGCAAGAAAAAATTGAATACTTATGCATGGCTTTGAAGTTTAAGTAAAATCTACTTGATGTCAATTAAACAGTTGTTTGCGGGTGTTGGATGAACATTTACACTCATTCCTCAAAGAATGATGTATACACATAAGTAGTTCCTACAGAACCATAGTTTTTCTTTGACAACTTCCAACCTTATCGACTTAGTCAGGTGCAAAAGTAAGGAGCATATTGAAAAATCTACGAATTTGTAGTCTTGATACCTACGTCAGGGTTATCATAACTACGCTAGATACAATTATTGCTGCTGCTTGTTTGACTGAAT